TGTGTTTCTCATTGCTTGTTGAAGAATTTTTATGGTAGCTGCTTTGAAATCCTTTTCAAATAATTTTGACATCTGTATCACCTCAGTATTAGCTTCTATTGATTGACTTTTCTCATTCAACTTGAAACATCCCTGGCTCACAGGATCCCCACGTGGTCTTTGCTGTTACCACAGGAGAGGGGCTTGTTACAGTCTGGTGAGTGTGGAAGTTCTGGTTCCCACTTGGCCTTCACCAAACAGCTTAATTTTTTTTCCTCCCTGTGGAATTTGGCAGGAGCAGTTATTATCTAGGAGCGTTATGTCTAGCTTTAGTGCCCCTTTCCTGGCTTTCTGGCTAGGGAGAGCAGGCTTCTCTTGGGGCTTTTTGTTTTCTTTGTAGTACCCACTGACATACCAGCTTCCCAGCACCTAGTCTACGACATATGATGGGAAACAAAAAGGAACCCTACCTCTATGCCATTCTTCGGGATCCCAAGACCCCCAGCTGATCTGCTTCCTCTTCATCTTTACAGTCTCCTTATGCTTGTTTCCTATAAAATGCCAAGTTTTTAGCTCTGCTCAGTGGGACGAATTGGAAGAAATGCATCTACTTCATCTTGCTTCAGAACTAGAAGCCTGCTTTATCGTCTTTAATTGGAGAGTAAAACAATTACATTCTCTTCTCTAGTAAACCCGTATGTATTTGTGTCGTTAAATTCCTTATCACCAAACACAACTCATGCACCAGGGAGGTGCTCCAGGCTTACTCTGTGATTTTGGGCACTTTGTAATCCCAGTCAACTTGCACTTTGGGGCGTGTGCCCCGGTTTGAGGAGCACTGGTCTGTGGCTAAAACTTGTTGAGGACTCATTATGTGGCCAAACACTGTTCTCACTGTTCTAAGGGATTTATAAGGGTGAACTCATGGAATCCTCATAGCACTCTTAGGTACTGTTATTACCTTCATTTTATAAAGAAATTGAGTTATGGGGACATTTAATAATTTTCCAAAGTGATGCCACTGGGCAAGAGCAGGAATTGAAAACTAGAGCCCTAAGCTAGTGTATTGGGGTACCTGTCTGTGTTGAGAAAATGCATTTGGGTTTTGAAGCCAGAAGAATATTCCAAGACACCATCTCTGCCTTTTACTGGTGGTGACCTTTGTCAAGTTCCCTACTATATACAAGCTTCAATTTCTTCATCTATGTAATAGGGAAAACATGACATGCCTCACTGTGTTTGGGAAATAATAGATAACATCATCGTCTAGTCTATGAGGCCCTTAGCATACAGCAGATCTTCAGTAAGTCATTGACTTACTAATGGCAAGTTGCCATTGTTATGGTTTATCCATGTCCACAGGGAGGCAGCATATGTAGTGATTAAGAGTACACACTTTAGAGTTAGACTGATGCATTTGGATTGTCACACCAGAGCAAACTGGCTGAGAGACCCAGGCAAGCCTGCTTACCTGTCAACATCCCGCCTCTCCAGTAGGTGTGATGTGATGATGCCAATTCCAGAAGGCAATGTGGGCAGTTGAGAGGGTCCTGAACGTGGAGAGTGTCACAGTGACTAGGTGTTGTGAGGGAGAGTACAGTTTCCGATGGGTCTGAGTGCTTGCATCAGTTCTGGGTGAAATGAAAATGTTTGGTGATGCTAGGTGACGCTCCTTCTCTGCATTGGTGCCATCCCCAAGACATCAGTGACTCTCACTTGGGGGCATGGTAAAACCACCCACCAGGAACTTTCTCCAGTCTTGGGCTTCTCAAGCAAGGTATGCTTTTTGTGGAATTTGCCCCTTGACAAGGTGAATTTGCTTCTGAAACGTGACCAGGTGTCTCGGCACCCGGATTGAGACTCTCAGCATCTTACCTGACACTGACTCAATCTACACAATCTGTCACAGAGGAACAAAGGCTTTGTGTTTCCATGAAGGCTTGCAGTGATGTCTGTGATGCCTGGAGTTGACCAGACACTGTTGTGGGTTGTTGTGTTTTTCCAGAATTCAATGATCAGGGCTGATATTTTGCAAACATGTTCAGCTATTTTCAAAAACAAAGTTAATAAAGTTCAAGAAATTTAAGTAGTTTTCCCAAAATATGTTCTGTGTTTCTTTTTGTTTGTTTTGTAAAATGAAATGTGTTCAGAAGAGAAGCCAAGAGAATCCTACCACTTTCTTGAAATGCCCAAGTCTGCTCTAGAATTTCGGGAGCTGTCTCGCTCTTGGATGCAGTTTTTGTGTTTAACTGTAGCTCTGTTGAGGGACCCTTGCTGTAGCTCTTTCTGAGTGGCCTCTTCCTACACTTATGGCCAGGGAAGGGAGAATGTCATGATCCTTACTATTATAATTACCACATGTGAGGCTCTTACTGCTAAAAAACTTAAGCCTTTTGAAACCAAACTCGTAATATTTGCAGGGGCTTCCCTTAGTGACCGAGCAGCACTGAGCAATGGCTACAGAGCATGCATTACCCATGCCAAGTGGCATCTGTCAGTCCTTGGAGGCTGGGGTGAAGATGCGGGTACACTGGAGGCGGCACACAATGAGTGATGCTTTCCTCTTCGTATGACTTCTTTTGTATCTGTGCATACCCTCGTTGTCCACATGTCTCAACCTCACCGACTACAGAAGAAAAACAACTTCTTCCCTATTCCTTTCCTTAGACAACAGTTGGCCTTACTTTCCAACACTACTTCTCCAGCTCTCTTTGGCCTTAAGTGTGAGGGACTTCAGGAGCCTGTGGGAAGGTGGGATCTCTGGTAAATCTCCAGAGAAGAAAAGTTGGAAGATGACACAAGCAGAGGAAACATCCAGAGATTTAAATGGTGGCCCAGCACATGGCATTGAAAGACCAACAGTCTAACAGTACAGATGAACAAACAGAGGCTCCATATAGCCACTAAAATTTCGAGAAAACCTTAAGCAGGTCTCAAATAAAATTGCACACAATGGAAGATGTCTAATAGCAGCATGCATTCACATACTTTAGTCGACAACTTTCTGATTTATAGAAATAAAAGGTAGTGAACGTTGTGAAAATGCAAAGGTGCGAAGGCCATGTTCCCATGAGCTACGAGTCCATATCTCATGAGGCTATCCAGATTTCGGAGGCCATCACTCATTTCTCTTTGTATTTCAGGTTGGGCTTCCCAATGATGATTGTGTCCTGCATCGTTGGGATGTGTTATCTTCTTGTGGCTCATGTGGTGGTGGGATGGAATTAATAGACATCCATCTGTCACTCGAAGACTAAAGGAAACTTCATCCATCACAACCCACCAGTCATAAAACGACCCTGACACCACTGTTTGGAGAAGAAAAGGTGCTTGCCCTGGAGATGCTCTGGAGACACAGTGGAATAGACCTTGACACTAACACTAATTCCGGCGAATGCTGGAACACCGTGGCCTCCTCTCTGTGTCCTTTCTCCCCAAGGACAAAATGTAGAAAACGTGAGATCACTTACTCGAGATTCCCCTCCAGAAAAATACGTATGTTTCAAAACCCTTCCTGCTATACATAGGAAAAGACACACATCCACCCAAAATTGCTTGTGCTGTTTAATTGTCAATTCTCCTGAGGCTAAACACAGTTTGTTTTTTCTTGTAATCACTTTTCATGTTAAAATAACCAGCACTCAAATTGTATGCTCTCTGAATATGGACTTTCTGGGAAAAGGTTTACTGCTCGTAAGGAAACATTTTATATATGAAACTGTTCCTTGATAAAAGGCTTTGGAGTCGTTTACATTATGTAAAATTGCATTTTATCCATTTATGTTTTTCTCTGCAGTTTCAAAGTTATCAATTAAAAGTCCAGAAATTTGACTTGCAGAAGATCATAGATATCTTTTAAGGGATATTTTACACATTTAACAGCCAAGAGTAATATTTTCCATTTTGCAAGTGGTGCATGCTATTTTCATCAATTACGCAGAGGTACAGTGGATACGCTCAGCTCTGCTCTCCCTGCAGGACACTGTGGCTCAGTCAGTGTTTATTAAATGCAGTTATTTTGTGAAGCATTCCTTGAGGGGCAAGGGTAATGAGGACAAAGATCAAAGGGGAGCCCTGTGCTTCCTCCGAGGTCTCCTCTGCTCTGTCTCATCAGTATCGTGGTTATGCCCCAGAGGAAGAAGCCCTTCTTCAGTTTCCGATCTTCTGTGCATACCTTGGAATAAAAATGTCTGGGGACACTGCTCCGAAGTGATTGTGTGTCAAGCATCTGACTTCAAAAGGTCCAAGCTGCTCAGGACACTAAGAACTGCAAAGCAGGAGACCTTTCTGGTCCCATTTCTGCCATGGGCACCCTCGGGATGGGTATCCCTGTCTACTGTTCAGAGTCTATATTGTAGAATGGCAACCTAGTTCCTCCCTGAAAGGTTGGGAGTGTTTATGATAATATGCCCTTTGAATTCCTTGACAGCAAAGCTGATGTGCAACCCTATTTTGTTTTAAAATACGGTGTTGGACATCACACAGAAGCCTCCAGACACGTGCAGCTGACGGTGTCCTGGAGGAGACCCTGCCACAGTCTGTCTAGGAAAGGGTTCTTCCCGCTGCTCCCGCACTGCCTGTACTTTGCTTGGTCTCACTGGACCTGGATGTGCCTGAGCTGGTCACTGAAAAGCATCGTTTCCTCTTCTATCCCACATCAGGATGCCTGGGGGCAGCACTATCTCCCTCCTGTCCGGCTCCTTCCAGCTCAGCTCACGTCTGCTCTTTCATCCTTTCACATGTCATCCCTTAACAACGCTCAGGCCCCGTCTCCCACCCACTGCCTCTCCTCGTTGGCGCCTCTCTCTACTCTTCAGTCATCCCTTCTCATTCTTGAGACGGAGTCTCACTCTGTCACCCAGGCTGGAGTGCAGTGGCCGGATCTCAGCTCACTGCAAGCTCCGCCTCCCGGCTTTACGCCATTCTCCTGCCTCAGCCTCCCAAGTAGCTGGCACTACAGGCGCCCGCCACCTCGCCCAGCTAATTTTTTTTTTTTTTTTTTTTTTTTTTTGTATTTTTAGTAGAGACGGGGTTTCACTTTGTTAGCCAGGATAGTCTTGATCTCCTGACCTTGTGATCCACCTACCTCGGCCTCCCAAAGTGCTGGAATTACAGGCATGAGCCACCATGCCCAGCCCAGCCCTTCTCATTCTTAAAAACCATTAGCTCTGGGCTGATTTCTCCCTCTTGCTCATAGCTGCAGCCTCCCTTGAGGTTCCTATTCGTGCCCCCCAGTTCTGATTTCTCTGCCCTCATCACCTTCCCCCACTCACCTCTGTGTTACACCCACCCTGGGTCCCCAGGACCTCCCTAGGTCCTTCATCTCTGTGGTCTTTCTCTGACACTCCAACACTTCCAGTCATTTACCCCAGGTTACCCTCTAAAACAAACCTTGCCCCGCTGGAACCTCTTGTTCATTGGCCCCGTACATTTTAACTTCCCCTGTCAACTCCCTCTTAGCTGTTTATGCTCTAAAATTTAAAAGTCAACCAACAAACTGTCCCCATGCTACCTTTACTGCCCCTCAATGTTTCTGAGGTGAGTCATCCCACAGGGATGGCTGGTTTTATTTTTAAGTGAAGATTTCAAGCATCAGACAGGCTCTCGGCACTGCCTGGCTCTTTGATTCCATTTCCCTAGCGCAGCAGCCAGAGGACTGGCTGGAAACAGGTGGCTGCCCACACTGGGTAAGTGCAAGTGACTGTAGCCAGGGATGGTGCAATCCTTTAGGGTCCGTGAGAGGAGGCAGCTGTGGGTTTCTGAGGGGGAGGGGACAGTGACCAGGACCTGGAAATGCAGGGAGCTGTGTCCAGAGGGACTGGATGGGAGCTGTGGTCTTCTACTGGGGCTGTGCCAGCATGAGACACTTGGCAGCCAGGGCGGGGGCCGGGGGGCGAGGGGTGGGCTGTGGGAATCATCCTGAGTTTATGCCTTTCATCCTGTGGCTTCTCTCTGTCCAAGGACTGAAGTAGCTGGAAGCCAGGGGACAGGAAGCACTGCTGATGCTGTCCAGGAATGGGGGTGGGCAGGAGGAGCAGATGGAAGACACTCAGCTTTATGTACTGTTTCGCTCCTCAGCAGATGAGAAGTCCACTTCTGAAGAAAGGAGACACTAAAAGTGCCATGAGCTTTTCCACCCAAGAGTCCACGCGAGCTTGCCCACACTCCCTCCTGACACTGTCTCCAGAATTATTAGGTGAACAATCCAGTGCTTATTAAATCCTGTCATTATGATGGAAAAAGACAACCTCGAAGGAAGCAGCTGCGCCTTTGCTATAAACGTTGGACTGTCACAGGCCGCTGTCCTTGCTAGAGTCTGCCTGACGTCACGTGCATAAAGTCCTAAAGGTTACAGGGACTGCAAGGACACCATTGTACAGTCTGAATTCACCGTGAAATCTAGATGAAGGGTGTGTGTGCTGCAGATGAGGATCTGATCCTCCCTGAGCTTGCATGAGGAGCTGTGCCTTACCTTTAACATACGGCCCCACGCAGGCAATGTGACAGCAGCAGAGTTCGTGGGAATGTGAGCCACTTCCTCCTGCAGTGCATGTGTGCCTTCCAGATCCGCTGGGGCCCAGTCTTGCAAATGCAACATACTTTATAACGGAAGATCACTGTGCCCATCCGACGGAGTGGTTATGTGGATCAGATAGCCCTTGGCTTGTGATGCACAGCCCAAGTTCTGCAGTCACTCTGTTTCCACAATCAGATCTTCAACCTGCACCAAGGCCCAGTGGCAGCCTGGAGCTGCTTTTCTAGAGAAGACTAGTACACTAGTCAGAACGGGAAGACAGGGACTTCATTCAAATCTTGAGGTTTGCACTCCGACTCTCCCCTCAAGGCTTGCCAGCATCTCCCTACAGTGTCTGTGTCTGCCCTTGGGATGCCTGCAGCCGTGCTGTGCTATTTCACAAGGCCCAAGTGGCAGGGCACCCGGCATGGCAACCTGGACCTGGGAGCTGCACTTGCTTGCTCGGGTCCCCCTTAAACCTTGCAGCCTTGGGAGGTTACCTGCCAATGGGTTAGAGCAGTGAATCCAGTATGTTATATGCTGCCTATAAAATTAAAAGTGGACCATCAAGAATTGTGTATATATATATTTTTTGGATGATTGGTACAAGTGTTTCTCACTTTGCAGGGTAATTTTAAGTCACTCATTCCTAAAATTACCATCAGGATGTTGTATTTCTTTTGTGTTACCATCTTCGTGTGAGATGGGCAACTTCCTCATGTAATAGGAAACAAACTTGGGAATTCTGATGGTTATTTAACATGATTTCTCTCAGCATTCATTCTGGAGAAGGGGAATAACCATAGGAGGGGTCCACCATTTCATAGGACCAATTATTATGCGGACTTAGCACAAGAATGCACCTGTCACTTGGCCAACATAAGCCTCTATTCTGTCTTAAGGACCAGAGGATGTTTTGGGTCTCTGAGAATCAGGGAAAATTTAAAACCATTAGGACCATCTAGATATTTCTTACTGGAATGCAAAAGTCACCTGGTAAATGGCCACAGGTCCCTCTGAGGAAGGTGTGGGAAGAGCAGTAAATGCATCCGTGGGTCTGTTGCAGGATCTTTCTCAAATCCACCTGGATGACCTCTCTTCAATCAATGACCTGTGAGGCTAGGTACACTCTCAGGTCTGGGAAGCAGCTTGTGTCATTCATCCTTCTTATGATGACTGAAGCTTCTCCCCAGGTCCAGATTCTCTCCAGGTTTCTATGTCAAGCTTCCCATAGAAGCCATTGCTTTGAGCTCTGTGATCCACTTGCCTTTTGGCAGAGGCCTCTGAAGCACAATGTGGTAACGGCGCCTGCCTTGACTATGACAATTCAGCACACCCCTGGTCTTCACCACCTTGGAATCCCATTATTCCTACTGAGAAAAGAGAACTTTATTCCATTACTGCCTCTCCTACTGTCAGCAACAGTCTCCAAAGGACAGATGTCAGAGACTTCTAAGGACACTGGTGGCCCCCCCGCAACACTGCATTTATTAATGCTTCAATGCAGGAAGTGTCCACTGGATTCTCTCACAGGGAATGCTAGGGGACAGCTGAATAGGGGACACATAAACATCTGAGCCTTTGGACTTCTTTCTTTATATGCCCAATATTAACCAACTGTGCATATTTAATAACGCCTGTTCCAAGTGGTCAAGCTAACACATTAAGTCTCAAATTCCTGGTGAGTGTGCCTGTCCAGGAATTTGGCCCATTCAAGCCTTGTATTGTATTCTCTGGGATGTAATATACTTAGATTCCATTTCCTTAAGTGCAATCCAAAGAGGGGTGTAGTTCTGTAACTTTTTCAATAGGCAGGTTAATTTGTCTTGAAGGAGACTTTCTACTTCTCTATCCAGGATGTGTTAGTATCTTGTAAGAGCCCTGGAGAAAATGATGGGTATTGAGGGATGAATCTTGAGACAAATACACATCAGTTTGTGAGGCAACTAACCCAGATCCAATGACTAGATGGCTTTAAGTGGAGAAAAGAGGGATGGGCTTGTGGATCACAGGGAGATAGCATGATTCTTCCCACTTAACTCTTGGTCAAGATTGTCTTTGCTAACACCTATGCTTGCAAATAAATGTTAGGATAAGCTTGCTTATGCCTATTTTAAAAAAACTTGACCTGATGTGATAGAAATCACACTAAACCTACAAGTGAATTTGGGCAGAATTGACAATTTTACTATGTTGAGCTTTCCATTCCTTGGATATGATATGTCTCTCCATTTATTTAGGTCTCTTCTGGTTTCTTTCATCAACATCTTACAATTTTCAGCATACATAACCTGGACAAGTTTTCTTAGATTTATAATTCAGTATTTAATATTCTTTGAAGAGAAAGGTACTGTGTTTCAAATTTCAGTTTCCAAATGTGCATAATTAACATGTAGAAATGTGATTGATTTGTGTGTATAGATCCGGTATACCATGGCCTTGCTGAGTTCACTTATTAGTTATAGAATTAAAAAAAAAATTCCTTGGTATTTTTTATGTAGATCATTATGTCATCTACTAATAGGAACATTTTCATTTCTGCCTTCTCAATCTTTATGCCTTTAATATATATTTTTTGCCTTATTCTGGCAGTTAGAACTCATGAGAAGGAATTTGGCCATTCATTCACTAAGCTAGATCTACTTGCAACAATTTCTTTCAGTTTTTCTTCATTGTGGAAGAGTTTCATTTCACCTTCATTCTTGAAGGAAGTCTTACTGGACATGGCATTCTTAGTTGACAGTTTCTTTTGGCCCTTGAAAAATGCTCTGTTACTTCCCTGTGCCCATATGGTTTCTGATGAGGAATGTGCTATCATTCAAATTGATTTTCCCCTACAGATAAGTTGTCATTTCTCTCTTGCTGCTTTCAGGAATTTCTTCTTTCTTTTTATTTAATTTCAGGGATTTTATTATGCTGTGGCTTAGTATGGATTTCTTGAGTTTATTGTTTTTGAAGTTCGCTCAGCTTTGCGAACTTTAGATTTCTTTTGCCAAAATTGGGAAGTTTTCAGTTAATAATTATCCAAATACTCCTTCAGCCCCATTCTCTTTCTCTTCTTCTAGAAATCCAGTGATACAAATGTTGGATTACAGTCTTTAAGGCTCTGTTTTTTTTTTTTTTTTCCCAATGTTTTCTCTCTGTGTTCATATTGGATGAATTTTATTGATCTGACCTCAAGTTCAGTAATTCTATACTCTGTCATCTCCACTCTACTGATGAACCCATTCAGCATTTTATTTTTATCATTATTGTAGTTTTCTGTGTTTAGTTTTCATTTGCTTCGTTTATTTATTGCTTATTCATTGCCTATTGAATCATTTTGTAATATAGGCTTTAGAATCCTTGTCATATAATTTGTACAACTGACTTCTCCTAGTGTTGGCATCAGCTGATTGTCTTTTCGTATCCAAGTTCTAATTTTCTGGTTCATTGCATGACAGATGATCTATAATTACATACTGGAAAAACTGGCTATTAGGAGATTATGGATTATATTTAAAAGTTGTATTTTAGCAAGCAGTTACCCTTTTTAGGTTTGGCACTTTTGTGCAGTGCAGCTCCAGTGACTGTCTAGTTTTGGGAGCTGATGCCATGCTATTTTGGTTTGCTTGCTTTATCATTGGTGTCGATGCTTTCACTGCTCCCTGCTGATGCTGCTTGAAGATGTGGAGAAAATATCCAGGTCAGGCCACCTAGTGTCCCTAGGAGGAGGGGATCTTCTGACTTGCTCATTTGTTTTGAGGTTCTCCCTGCACTGTGGAGTAGTGCTGACCATGAGCATTTCCCAGCCCATGTGGTTTGGGATCAGGATATTCCTCATAGGTGCATCCTGGCCTCAGTGTCTCTGGGCTGAGGAAGGGATTCATCAGGCTTGATGGGAAGAGGAACACATTGTCAGTGGGGATTCAGATTGATCTCCCTAATTGGTTCTTCTGGGCTCACTTGGTATTGTAAGTGGGACTCATGTTCAGCTTGAAGGAAGAGAGGGCCCATCTGGGCTGTCTTCTGCAGCTAGGCTGGGCCAGGAAACATTCTAGCTGGGTCACCTTCTTCTGTGGAGTGGAGGGTGTGGGTGCCCCACCACTATATTGTTCTTCCTACGCTGGATTCCAAACCAGTTCACCTTCCTCATCCACATTTCAGAGTTCTCCTTTGGTCATCTCAAATTTCCAAGATTCATAATTGTACTGAGTGGGGAGGAACAGGCAGAAGTACAACTTTCTGGAAATGTCATCTTTTCCAGACCAAAATTCTCATTTGCTGTTGAGAAAGAAGTCATGTAATCAAACGAGAATACTTTTTTTTTAAATAGATGTTAAAACTAGGTTTAAGATAAGCATAGCATTATTTCTTTAATTTCAAATTAGAGAGAGTTAGTTTTAGGTCAACAGGTACAACTTAGAAACAGGTTTTAGGTAACCTCCCTATTTAATTCTTATATGGGTTCTTTCTGTAAAAGCTAACGTGGTTCCACACTGAGAACACAGCTCACTGCCCCCCTCAGTCAGTTCCAGGCCAGCCTGTCCACTGCATGGCCTTTGTCACCCTGACACTGGCTCCCCAACATCTAAAACCAGCAGTGTTTTAGTCTGGGTCTTGAAACTGTTGGCTGAACATGCCCAGAACTGGCTGTTGTACACCACAATGTCAATTTTCAGCAGCTTCCCACTTTTTCAAAGCAGCTTTGTCCAGGATAAGGAAGACCGATTGAACACTCACATTTCCGACTTCTACATTTTCTGCAGGACATTTTTTGTGCTGTACATAATCACAGTTCTTCCCACGTCACCGTGCCCCAGCAGGGGTCCTTGGCCCCGTCTGACTCTCACGGCCATACTTCACCTGCACTGGCCTGCGGCTGGGCTGGAGTCCCTTCCTCACTGTGTGGTTGGCGGGGGTGGGGGGCTGGAGGTGCTCACTGAGTCTGTCTGTGTGCCTGTTTCCTGGGCAGTGATCTGATGGTGTTAAATTTTCAAATGGAGGAGACAGTAAGTGAAATTAATACATTTAGGAGTGACAAGTTTTGGGGAAAATGAAGTCAAGTCATTTTAAACAGGTTGGTTGGGAGGGAACATCTGAACAGACATCTTGAGTCAGGGTTCTTGTCGCAACCAGGAGGTCTGTAGCATGAGCAGGATGAGGGAGGGAGGAACCAGGGTCTGATTCTGCCGAACTGTAGGTTAGTGCCTGGAAGCAGCAGCTAGATAAATGGATGGGGATGTGGGAGAGAGGGGAGTACATCCCACTGTCCTAGAAATGGGATGCTGTCTCCACTGCTGCATCAAAGGCCAAAGTTGGGGGAGGGAGGAGACTGACTTTATTTAGGTTGTCGCCATAGGAGGACACCCCAGATCTGAAGAGCAGTGTCATGGCTGGGGGTTATCTTGGAATTTTACAGGGAGGGTTAACCAGTTGCAGAGGAGGCGATTCACAGCTGGGGTTCCGCAGAAGAGGAAGTCTCCATCAGTTTTCTGAACAGAGATTGTTTTTCTCTGTAGTTAGCTAGTTTCAGGGGAATAAAAAGTTCTAATTTCTATTTTATTTTATTTTATTGATACAGCATCTTGCTC